ATCCTTCTGAGGACAGCTGGGTACCTGAGTCCGCCATGGGTAACGGCCGTCGTCCTCTGCATGCCTACCTTGTCAAGCAGGGTGTTACTTCTACCACCCAGCTTTGAGGGGGGGGAGTGTGAGAGTACGACCCCGTTACACCACTTGGCCTTTTCTTATTTCCTTCCTTTTTCATTTCTCTTTTATTCCATCTCATTTGGTTTCCTATTCTTCCTTTTCCATTAACCTTTGGTTTATCCTGCTATTATAATTATATCACCGACCAGGCTTGGGATGTACTGGTGCGCTCTATCTAGCGTAATCCTGCTGTAATCCCTTAAAGCCAATAGCCTCGCGTGGCTATACGCAGGGTGATTCTATCTTCTAGAAGGGTCTATTCCCCTAGGATAAGATAAACCTGGTTACCTGATGTACTCTGGAAGTATAAAAGCGCCTTGTACTGATCGATAGTGCAATCTTTCCTCGACACATTCGATCCTGTAACACCTGAAAGGACGTCAAGTGCGCTGCTTGCTCCATATGCAAGAAGGGCATCTGCGAGGAGGTTGATCCCTGCAAGATCGTGAAGTGCGCTGCTGGCTGGGTATGCAAGAAGGGCGTTTGCGAGGAGGCTGATCCCTGCAAGGACATGAAGTGCGCTGCTGTCTCCTTATGCAAGAAGGGCGTCTGCGAGGAGGTGGATCCTTGCAAGGACGTGTAGTATGCTGCTGGCTCAGTATGCAAGAAGGGCGACTGCAAGGAGGTTGATCCTGGAAGGACGTGAAGTGCGCAGCTGGCTCCGTATACAACAAGGGCGTTTCGAGGAGGTTTAGCCCTGCAAGGACGTAAAGTGCGTTGTTGGCTCCGTATGCAAGAAGGGTGTTTGCGAGGACATCAAGTTGGGCCCCATTTGATTTTTGCCCAAGACAGCACGAAAAACAGGAATAGAAGAAAGGTGTCCCACTTGAACCCCCCTGCAGAAATCACGTCGCAGGGGGACAGCACGAAACGCCCGGCTGTCAATCTATTTTCGCATCGAGCCCACACTAGCTAGTGTTTTTGCGCAACTAATAGCATTTGTGCAACCCATTTTTGTTTTTTGCGACAGTTACGAAATTCCGTAATCCCCCGGATATAACACCCCAGGTATAGTACAAAATTAATGCAAAATCAGGGGGGTGGGTGGGTGCTCTATTTTGCGTTTAGGCTATAGCACCCAGGTGTTATATTTGAGGGCATAATTTTTCAGATGTGCATTAGACTCAGTATGTCATGGCGATCTCAGCCATCCAAGTTCTGGCTGAACAGGCGTAGGTTTTCTCGAGGTTCGGAATAGCCCCGGATTGCCCACTTGCTCACGAATTTCAGGTTTGTGTCAGGTTAGTGAAGGGAGGTTGGGGGGTTGGCGATCGTAACAGAGAGGACAAAAATTACGACGCTCATGAGCCAATCAGCACATGTCTCTCGCACAAATGAAACAACAAAGTGTTTCCCTTTGTCATTTTCAGTACCAGAGAACCCCGCCAGGTGCCTCGGAAAAATTCAGCACGAAATAGCATGAAAGAACTGTATTTAATGCTGGTATTGCTAGGTGTGAAAGGGCTATAATTGTAAGGGGGGGGTGCTCTCCTGGAACCCTCAAAAAGAGGGTGCATGATTGCGGATTCTTCAATACAACACCCTCCCCATATTTGACACCAGTGGGAGCTTAATTTCGGCGGGTGTTATGTCCAGGGGATTACGGTTGTGGGCACTGCGAAGTTTGGTTTCTCGCCTGGTTTCGGGACTTCGTTTTGTTGCACCCAGTCGACTATCAAGAGGACCCCCCTCTGATATTTTTCCGTCGAGTTTTAAGTCACCAAGCCTTACCTTTCTAATCTTATGGACTCTCCAAACTGCTGCACCTTGACACTTGTGCAACAACCTCAAATTTGTCATCTTACAACACATCGAGCTTTTTTTCCTCATCTTCAAGGACGGCCCATCCAAGTAGTGCACTGTTGCCTGCACTGAGCAATTGCATGTGCAACAGATGCTAAATTGAGAGTCAAATGCTCTGAGTGGTCACAATCCCCCGTGATGAACGATCTCACTAGGTACGATTTCACGAAGTAATTACCTACAGTGATACTACATGTTATGAGATGTTGCCAGCCTATTTCACAAGGATGCACGCCAATTGGTTCTCATCGTGCCTCCCACGAATGTCTGGCCATGGACTAAGACTCAAAGAAATGCATACTGGACTGTTAATGGAGGCACAAATAACAGCTTCTTACATCTCTTTCGTAAGGTTAGACACACCTCGGGCAGGCATTGTAGACACTGTTAGAATATACCATGCTATGCTAGTTGTGTATATTGTGTTTACATCCCTAGTTGGGTGTACACCTGTGTTGGGGTGTCAATCCAACCCAATTGTGGTTGGAGCCCCCAAACACAAGGACCACAATTATGGGGGCACCACAAGTGGGTTGCCTAAGCCACTTGTGGTCCACCATACTTGGACCACCTCCCACTTGTGGTCAACCACATTTGGAAGGATCCTCCCTCCCTTGTGATTGGTCCTAACCCCCCCTTCCCTTCCAACCTTCCCTTCCTAGCTCATCTCTCTCTTCCTATGTAATGCCTTTGCTTGATCAATAAACTCAACATTTCTGTTTCTAACATGGTATAGAGCAATAATGGCTCACGCGAACTTTCAATCCTGATCCTTCCCCACGCTTCCGCCCCATCCCCTTCCGACGTGCATCTCTTTGCCGTCTCCTCCATCGCCGCTGCTAGACTCCTAGCCGCCGCCTCTCTTTCCCTTCACAACTAGTTTTCTGTTGGGTGGATTTTCAAACATCCCCAGTGCGCCAAACGCCATAGCTCTCTCGCTAGTTGACAGAATTGGGTGATTCAACTTGCAAAAGAACGCTCTTGGTGTCAGCTACTACGTCGTAAAATTGCAGACTGATTCACCGCTTGGATTGTCGGATATCGCTTTCCGAAGTTCGCGCACTTTCCTGGATGTGATCACGAAGTGCTACTGAAATTTCCACCAAGTCCTACTTTCATCAGCTAACTGCCATCTTTCCCCATCAGCTAACTGCCATCAGCTAGTAGCAGCAGCACCAGAAGGAGCAGCAGACACAGCAGCAGCAGCATCAGCAGCAGCAGCAGCAGCAGCAGAGAAGGAGCAGCAGCAGCAGCAGCAGCAGCAGCAGCAGCAGCGGCAGCAGCAGCAGCAGCAGCAGCAGCAGCAGCAGCAGCAGCAGCAATGGGAGCAGCAGCAGTAGCTACAGTCATCCCCATCCTCCCCTCCTCTTTGAGCCGCCGCGGGTCCACCCGCCGCCGCTCCCTCCCCGCCACCGCGGGTCCACCCGCCGTCGCCTTCCTCCCACTCCGTGTCACCAATGGCATCCTTTCCCCCTCCTGTCGATGTTTCGACCCTCGATCATTTGGTGCGCGCTGCCGACAACTCAGCAACCAACTGGTATTCCTTCGTCGGCAGCCTCCACTGCGTCCTTGGCAGTGCATATGTCCTGCCGTTCCGCCTCCTGGATATCATGCTTGGTCTCCCAGAGGGTGACCTTGGGGACCCGCCGCCTCACCCTGGCGATCCCCCCCCTCTCATTCCCCATCCCGGCGAGGAACCTCTGCCCCCCGTGGTACCCGTTGGCACCAGCACTCGCGCTGCCACCGCTGAGGTTGAGCAGCTCTTCGTTACTCAGCGTCGTGAGTTCCTCGTGCTCCATACTGATTACCTGATCGCTTTGGAGGAACACGAGCGGTCGGCCACCCTCCGCAACCAGCATGCCGCTACCGCCGCCGCTTATGCCGCTGACTCTGCGCGATTTGCCGAGCGTCGTCGCGCTTGGCTCGAGGCGGACAGCCGTGCTACTGGTGCCCTTCTCCTTGCCATCCCGCCTGCGCTCATGCGCAACTTCCAGGCACGTCGCATCGGCTCCCGCCAGATCTGGCTCGAGCTTGAGGCGATGTTCGAACGCACCGACTTCGACGCTGTCGGACCGCTCTTCAAGGAATACTTCAGCATCACGATCGAAAATAGTGCTGGCGCCGTTGACTACACCAGCCGTCTCCTGGACCTTGCCTCCTGCCTAGAGGCTCACCAGACTACTCTCCCCTCCAACCTCCAGATCTACCGTCTCCTCGAAGGCCTCTCCCCTCAGTATGAAGTGCGCGTCATCGCCTTCACTGAGGCTCAGCCCCGTGCCTCCCTTGACACTGTGGTCCAGTGGATCATTGACGCTGAGGCCCGCCTTCTCTCAACCCCCCCCTCCGGCTTGAACTCCACCGAGTCCCCAAACCCCCAGCATGCCGTTGCACAGCCGCGTCGTGAAGAGCGCCCACGTGGCGGCCGCACCAACCCTCAGGGAGGGGGTGGAGGTGGCGGTTATGGGGGCAACGGAGCCGGCGGCGGTGGTTGCGGGGTCGAGGGTGGCAGCAGTGGTGGTGGTGGTGGCAGTGGTGGCTCATCTGGTAGCCGTGGTGGCCGCCCTGGCACTCTCCCCCCATGTTCCTATCTTCGCCGTTTTGGTCCCAGGGCGGGTGAGCGCTGCACCCAAACCAACCATCCCCCCGCGACCTGCTTCAAGGCGTATGATGACGCCTGGTTCGAGCGCGGCAACACTGGCACACCCCCACGCTGGTCTGCCATGGATCCCCGCCCCTCTCTCCAGGATGTCAAAACTCTTCCGTCTTTCCTCCCCTCTCATCTTCAGCTCGCCTCCTCCTCCTCCTCTATCGCTGACCCCATAACTCCCCAGGAGCTGCAGCAGTTTCGCCGCTTCCAGCAGCTGCAGCTGCACCAGCAGCTGCAGCTGCCGCAGCAGTGGGGCTCTGGTGGTCAGGCTACAGCCGCAGCTGCAGGAGCCGCAACCGCAGCATCTGCATGGCAGCAGCAGCAGCTTGGCTTTGGCACCGCCACCATGGCTGCCACAGCCACAACAGGTCCTCCTGGCTTTCCCCTTTGGGGCTCTCCTTCCCCTAGTGCTCCCACCTCCCACTCCAGCTTTCTAGGCGAGCTCATGCGTTCTTCCCCTGCTTCCACTTCCATGTATCCCTCTGTTTTTAATGCCAGTGATTTCCAGTACCCCATGTCTTCAGCTCCCTCCTCGCCCACGATAGACTTTGTTCTCGATAGTAGTGCCACTGAAACTGCCCTCAAAGACGCCGGCACTCTCACCTCCCTCCCTTTCCCCACCAACGTTCATGGCGATGATTCCAGCTTCTCCATCCCTTGCACTCATCTCTCCACCCTCCCCTGCCCCCCCTTCCCCTCCGGAGTGGTCACTGGTCTCCACATTCCCACCCTTCGTCATAACCTGCTCTCCATCCGTGAACTCCAACAGGCTGGCATCACTACCCTCTTCCCCGCCTCTGCCACCTACTGTGACCTCCTCCACGGCCCCACTCGTCGCCTCCTTCATCGCCTCCCACTTTGCCCTCGCTCTCGTCAGTACATCCTCAGCACACTGCGCCCCTCCTCATGCCACATGACCACTCGTGCAGGCACCTCCACTCTCCCCCCTCCCCTCCCTCTAGAGCCACCTTCCTCCAACTCCACCTCCCCCCCATGCTCTTGTCGCGCACTGTCCCACTCCGCTGTTCTCATCCACCATCGCCTTGGTCATATGAACTTTTCCACACTTCGTAAAGCCGTCTCCTCCCGCTTGCTTGACGGTCTTCCCCCCACTCTTCCTCCCCTCCCGTCCTCTTCCGCTCCCCCATGCGCCACGTGCATTCATGGAAAGCTCAAACAACAGCCTCACCTTAGTCATCCTTCCTTTGCTGCTGCCCCCCTTGACCTCGTCCACATGGACCTCTGGGGCCCTAACCCTTCCCCTTCCCGCCAAGGGCACCGGTACATGCTTGTCCTAGTCGACGACCACAGCAGGTACTCCTCGGTGTTCCTTCTCCACACAAAGGCCGAGGCCCCTGCTGTCATCGTTACCTGGGCCGACCAGTGCCGTGTCCACTTTGGTCGCCCCATCCGCCGCCTCCATTCCGACGGCGGTGGTGAGTTTCTCAACCGCACCCTCTCCTCCTACTGCTCAACCCATGGCATCCAGCAGACTCATACCCTTCCCCACTCCCCTCAGCAGAACGGTGTTGCTGAGAGTCGCATTCGTGAGATCACCAAGACGGCCCGCTGCCTCCTCACTCATGCCTCCACGCCCCCTTCTCTTTGGGGCTATGCCCTTGTCCATGCTGCTCTCCTCACTAATCTTTACCCACATCCTCAACGCCAGTCCGTCACTCCCACAGAGCTCTGGGCTAGCACCAAGCCAGATGCTGCCATTCTCCGTATCTGGGGTTGCAAGGCATATGTCCTCATCCCCCCACCTGACCGCTCTAGGCAGGCAGGAAAGCTTGCCTCCAAGGCCATTGAGTGTGTCTACCTTGGCCACGCTCGCTCTGTCCCTGGTTACCTCTTCCTTCACCCGTCCTCAGGCCGCCTCCTACAGAGCCGTGACGTGGTGTTCGATGAGAGCATCCCGTTCTATCATTCTGTTCCGCCTTCCGACCCACTTCCTCCTCTCTCCCGCCCCCTCACCTGGGCTGATGCTGTCATTCCCCCACTCCTTCCCCAGGCTCCCCTCCTTCCTCCAAATCCTGCTCCTCCCCCTCCTCCTTCCTCAGGTGACATTTACGACCCAGCTGTCCCTGACTCCCCTGCTCACTCTGCCTCATCGCACCAGCACCAGCAGCAGCAGCAGCAGGTGCAGCAGCAGCAGCGGCAGCAGCAGCAGCAGCAGCAGCAGCAGGTGCAGCAGCAGCAGCAGCAGCAGCAGCAGCAGCAGCGGCAGCAGCAGCAGCAGCGGCAGCAGCAGCAGCAGCAGCAGCAGCAGCAGCAGCAGCATCAGCAGCAGGAGGAGATGCAGCAGCAGCAGCAGATGGAGCAGCAGCAGCAGCAGCAACCACAGGCAGTGCAGCAACAACAGCCGCAGCAGGAGGTGCAGCAGCAACAGCAGCAGCAGCAGCAGCCGGAGCAGCAGCAACCACAGCAACAACCTCATCGGCATCGCTGCACCACCTCTCCGTTCATCCTCCCACGCATGCACACTCGCTCTCATGGCCCACTCATAGGCCATCCATGGGGTTGGCCAACGCCACCCCCACCCTCCCTTCCCTTCATCGAGGACTCCCATGAGGAGCTCATTGGCGTTCAGCAACAAACACCTTCCCTCACGCCTCTCTACCCGGGCTTCCTTGGCCTCCTCATCCTTGGCATCGCTACCGCTCCCACCATATTCACCCCGTCCAACTTCCTTGAGGCCATCACCTGCCCCGATGCTGCCAAGTGGATCCAGGCTATCTTTGCTGAATGCGAGGCCTTCATCCGCAATGCCTCATTCATTGACATTGTCCCCTCTCCTGACGACGTCATTGTTGAAGGCCTGTGGGTGTTCCGAGTGAAGCAGTTGCCGGGTGAGGAGCCGGTCTACAAGGCCCGGTATTGTGCCAAGGGCTTCACCCAGACCCATGGCATCGACTACTGGGAGACATTCTCTCCCACTGCCAAGCTGCCAACTCTCCGTGCCATCCTCGACTATGCTGTTCGCATTGGCATGGAGATTGCCTCGATGGATGTCTCCAACGCCTTCCTGCAAGGCGAGCTCCAGGAGCGGGTCCTCTTGCGGCGGCCTCCAGGCTTTCATGCAGCCTTCCCTCCCAACACAGTCTGGGAACTGCGCCGCCCGGTTTATGGCCTCAAGCAGGCTCCTCGCGAGTGGCACAACAAGCTGGCCGCCACTCTGCAGTCCCTGGGGTTCCATGCCTCTCAGTCTGATGCCAGCCTTTTCCTTCGCTCCTCTCCCACCCGCTTCTTCATCCTGGTGTATGTCGACGACATGATCCTGTTCGCTGACGATGCTGCCGCCATGCAGCAAGTGAAGGACGCCCTGCATGCTCGCCTCAAGTGCAAGGACCTGGGTGAGCTCAAGCACTATCTGGGCATGACCATCACCCGGGACCGCGCATCACGCACCATTACCCTCTCTCAGTCCTTCTACATCGACCAAGTCTTGCAGCGGTTCGACATGGCGCAGGCCAAGCCGGTTACCACTCCCCTGCAGACTGACCACCAGCTTGCCCCTCCTCCTGCTCCCTCCTCCTCTGACCATCCTTACGCTGAGCTCGTCGGTTCGCTGATGTACGCTATGATGTGCACCAGCCCCGACCTTGCCTACCCCATCAGCGTTCTTGCTCGCTTCGTCGGTACCGATCGTCACACTGATGAGCACTGGGCTGCAGCGAAGCGGGTACTCCGCTACCTCCGTGGTACCAAGGACTATGTCCTCACCCTCGGAGGCTCTTCTCCTCCCCTCCTCTCTGGCTTCAGTGACTCCTCCTGGGCTGACTCCCAGCCGGATCGCCGCTCCTCTCAAGGCTACGGCTTCACCCTTGGCAGCGGCCTCATCAGCTGGCGCTCCACTCGCTCCTCCTCCATCGCCCTCTCATCCTGCGAGGCTGAGCTCTATGCTTGCACCATGGCCGCTCAGGAGGCTCGCTGGCTCACCTTCCTCCTTGCTGAGATCGGTGCTCCTCAGCGCTGTCCCACCCTCTGGTGCGACAACGCCAGCACCATCCATCTCACAAAGGACCCTGTCTTCCATGGCCGCTCCAAGCACATTGCACTCCGCTACTTCTTCGTTCGGGAGTTGGTCCAGCAAGGTCACTTGGTGGTCCGCAAGATCGCTGCAGAGGCCAACTTGGCCGACATCTTCACCAAGGCCCTCCCGAAGACCGCGCACTCTGCCCTTCTCCGCCTTCTCGGCCTTGGGCCCCGCCCCCCTTCCTGATTCTGGGGTTGTCCATTATATATACACTAGCTTTGCATGCTATGGGGTTGTGTTAGAATATACCATGCTATGCTAGTTGTGTATATTGTGTTTACATCCCTAGTTGGGTGTACACCTGTGTTGGGGTGTCAATCCAACCCAATTGTGGTTGGAGCCCCCAAACACAAGGACCACAATTATGGGGGCACCACAAGTGGGTTGCCTAAGCCACTTGTGGTCCACCATACTTGGACCACCTCCCACTTGTGGTCAACCACATTTGGAAGGATCCTCCCTCCCTTGTGATTGGTCCTAACCCCCCCTTCCCTTCCAACCTTCCCTTCCTAACTCATCTCTCTCTTCCTATGTAATGCCTTTGCTTGATCAATAAACTCAACATTTCTGTTTCTAACAGACACATCGTCCACAATTTGTAATGGGGTAGTCTTGAGTATTTTTACTCCTTGTACTCCCCTGTCCTTCCCATGGTTCCCACACCACATAGCCCACTTCCCATTTCGTGCTCATGCACCATCACTTGAGTTTAAAAGTTTCAAACCCCAAAATAAAAAACGTTCTTCTTGGTGAGGCTCTTCGCGCTCCTGCAACTCTCCGCAAATTCCATCACACTACTGAAAATTGGTCAACAGGCTAATGCTGAGCTTTGTAAATCATTGACTATCCCTAGGCTAAGTTATGGTTTGTTGCTCCTTTCTACAATGGCCTTGTTCACCTAGTGCTATGGAATAACATATCCTTGTTAACATGTGCACAAAGCAACATCTGACCAAATTTGACATAAAAAATGCATGATTAGCAAGGGAAACACACAAAGTGACCATCAAATTAAGGCATATCAAAACATATTGCGGATATAGGTTCCTGTTGTTTACCCCCTTGGCAGTCTATAGATCGTCCACATGCCTTCATCAACCCATCACTGCATTATGAGTTCATGGTATACCGTAGGATTTATCATTGCTAGTGATTTCATGTGATATGTGTAAGAAATAGAGCTGAAATAATTAATTAAGTAAGGAGCCCAAGCCTCTATAAGTACATGGCAAGGTGAGGGAGCATGGATGAAGGGGGGAATCGGAGGAATCCCCATTGGGATCTCCGGAACCTCCAATTGGGTAATTGGAGATTGGGGGGATCACAATTGGGTGAGGTTTTGGTTAGAGAAGGCTATAAGCAGATTATTCAATGGATCATTGGAAATTTCTGCAGCACTTCGTTATGACGCCCAGAAAACTCGCGACCTTCGAAAAGCTATGTCCAAAACTCCAATCGATGAAACGATCTGAAAACGGATATGTTGTAGCTTGCAGCGTCAGCTTTCTACTGAAAGTCGAATCACTCGATTCCGTAGCTTAACGAGTGAGCTATGGCGCTTGGCGCACTGGGGGGTACTCTGCCCTAGGAGAAATTGACAGTCCTCAGACTCACTATGATTGAAGCTTACAAGTTCAGAGGCATGATAGAAAGGGCATTGAAGCATAGTTGGAAGGTGGGGTAGGAAGGGAAGGATGAAAGGGAAGGACCCTGGAGGCCCTTGGTCAAGAACATGACAAGAGTCAAAGTCTTGACTCCCCATCCTCAGGTTCAGCCACTCTGGCAAGACAAAATTCACACTGTGCCAGGTTGGCCTCCAAACCCCAAATGCTGCAGCTGCAAGGTGAGGACAAAAGTCCCACACATGCTGATCCCTCCTCGTTATAGGGCTCTCCAACTTTGGTGTAGCAGCTGCCAAGGACTTCCAATGACTTGTAACAAATCCATTAAACATTTCTTCGTACCTTCTTCATATGTGCTCCGATTCCAACAATTCTTGGCTCGTTGGAATGTGCTCGATGTCATGCACAATCCAAGCACATCTGCACAAGCACAAGATGAACATGCAAAGACATGCAAACCCAACAAACCATACAAACAACGTAGCACACAAAACACATGCAACGAAATGATGCGAACAGACGACAGGATGACGTGCAAACGAATATGCACCAACACACTCCCCCTCAGACTGTCGGCTTGTTTCGCCGTCTCTAGTTCAAGGACATTCCCGCCATCTTCGCACAGCGCCAGTGAGGCTCTTCAGCTAGCCGCTTGGTAAGGAAGTCGGCTGGCTGTTGCTGAGTTTTCACGTAGATCGGATCCAGTGTCCCAAGCTTCACCTCCTTCCGCAGCCAATGCCACTTGATCCTCATGTGCTTGTTCAACCCATGAAGAACTGCATTGCGTGCCATGGCAATGGCTCCCTTGCTGTCACTGAACAGAGGTGTCCCACAAGTCTGTTCATGGCCGATCTCCTTCAAGAGCCTCCTTAGCCAAATGATTTCTTTTGCCGCATGAAACATCGCCATGTACTCAGATTCCACTGAAGATAGTGCCGTCTCAGACTGCTTCTTGGACCTCCAACTTACAGGCCCACCTCCCACCATGCAGATGTATCCACCAACTGATGATGAATCCTCATGCTCAGAAGCCCATGTGGCATCAGCAAAACAGGAAAGGAACACCTTTCCTTCTCCGAGCTGCTCCCCCTTCTCTTTGAGAACTTCAACTCCTTTCTGACTGAGTTGAGCAGAGGCTGAATACTGTACTCCCACTGTAGGGTATGACTTGAGGTAGCGCACCACTCTCTCCGCTGCACCACACTGCTCTTCTGTTGGATTTTGCACTACTCGAGCCAGCTGTCCCACAGCAAAGCCGATGTCAGGCCGAGTATGCACAGCAGCGTAGAGTAGACTCCCGACCATGGATTGGAATTGCCTCTGGTCTTCACTCTCAACTCCTTCTCCTTCAGCTGCCTTTATGAGTTTGAACTCGGAAGGCAAAGGTGTGACCACTTCCCGTTCTTCCTGCAGAGAGTACTTCTCAGCCAAGGTGTTGATGTACTGTCCCTGATGCAGTTTGAGCCAGCCACGTTCAGTATCCCGCTCAATGTGCATTCTCAGGTAGTACCTTGCCTCTCCAAGTGACTTGCACTTGAACTGCTCTGTGAGCTTCTGCTGCACCCCATCGATCTCCTTGTCACTGCTGCTGAAGAGCAGGATGTCATCCACGTACACCAGCAGAAGCACAAGCGACTCCCCCTCGCCCATCAGGAATAGGCTCTCGTCGCATGCACTCGCACGGAATCCAATCCCTTCCAGTGCACTGGCCAGCCTGTTGTACCAGCATCTCGGGGCCTGCTTCAAGCCATAAATGGCCTTGTTGAGTTTGCAGACACAACCGGTTCCATCCTCAGAGCCAGGTGGTTGAACCATGTACACCTCCTCTTCCACAATGCCGTACAGAAAAGCGGTTACGATGTCCATCTGCTTCACCTTCCATTTGCGCACAACAGCTACCGCCAGCAGCACACGTAGCGTTGGAGACTTAGCAGTTGGGGCAAACACTTGTTTGTAATCTTCCTTCTCTTTTTGCTGAAACCCCTTTGCCACCAGCCTGCTCTTGAAAACTGATGGCTCTCCTTTCTCATCCGTCTTGATTTTTGCCAGCCACTTGCACTGTATTGCCTTCTTCCCGTTTGGCAAGTACACCAGGTCCCATGTGTAATTCTCCATCTAGCTGTTGTACTCTGCATCTCTTGAAACGAGCCACTTCCCCCGTTGAGGCGCGGCTAGCGCATGATCCATGCTCGGAGGTTGTATTGGTGCGTAAAAGCAGTATGCAGGCTCCTCGTCATCTGACTCTTGGTCATCACCCAAGAACAGCACTGCATCTTTGCCTTGAGCCTGTTCCTGCTGCTCAGTTATGGCTCCTCCACTTGTACAGCTCAGCAGCTTTCTCGTTGCCATTCTGGTACGTGCAGAGTAGATGGTTGGATTTACCCATTCTTTCACCTTCACCCAATCCTTTGTCCCCCCACCAATCTGTTTCCTTCGCTTTGGCAGACTTGGTGTTTTGGAAGCCTCTTGCTGCTGCTGCTCCGGATCCTTGACTTCAGCATCAGCTGCAATATCCTCATTGCTTCCTTCATCAGTACCGCTTGCCGTTGGTGCAGTGACTTTGCTGTCCTCAGGTTCGGACAAATCGAAGTGCATAGTGATCTCTTCCAGCTGCTGGGTGACCCTTGCCTCCGGCTGCTTCTCCCACTTGCCATACATGATGTTCTCCACAAATTTGACATCCCGACTGTCAAACAGCACATTCTTTGAGGGCTCCCAGAGTGGCCACCCCTTGCTCTCTGCCGCAAGCCCAAGGTGCACACACCACAGTGCAGATGCTCCAAGCTTTGTCCTGTACGGTTTAGGGACATGCGCCACTGCCATGCATCCGAACACTCTAAGCATGTCCACTGGAGGCTTCTTTCCAAGCCACCTCTCCAGCGGCACCCACATATCATCAGCCACCTTTGTGAGTACGTGGTTCCTTGCCACTGTAGCATGCCTCACCGCATGAGGCCACATGGAGTTTCCCAGCCCTGATTCGATCAGCAGCGCTCGTGCAGTTTCCAGGATGGTCCTATTAGCCCTCTCAGCAACGCCATTTGACTGAGGGGTATAGGACGTCGTTAGCTGATGCTCAATGCCTTGTTTCTTGAGCCACGCAGTCAGATCTCCTTCTAGAAACTCTCCACCTCGGTCGGTTCTGATGCTCTTGCACGGGTGCCCAGATTGTCGCTCGACGAACGGCAGCCAGTCATCTCATATTGTTGAGGCAGCATGATCCTTCTGCTTCAACGGGTATGCCCACATCAGCCGACTCTAGTCATCAACTATTGTCAGGAAGTACATTTCCCCCTTACTTCCTCGAACTGGAAAAGGTCCTACCAGGTCCATGTGCACCAGTTCCAGTGCTGCCTTGCTTTTCCCAGCTACGCCGTGAAAGGGGAACCGTGTGAACTTGCTCAGTAGACACGTCTCGCACTTGGTATCATTTGGTTGCCCAGAAAGCTTCAGCCCCTTTACTGCTTCTTCCTTATGCAGTTGCTGCAGCAATGGCATAGCCACATGCCCTAGACACCTGTGTGCGGTTTCCAAATCAGTCTCCCCCGACCTTGCAGAAACCGTCACTCCTGCAGCACTAACTGCATTGCACTCCCCCTGGACTCCAGATCCCGCCTTTACTACTCCCAACTCCTTCTTTGTTGATTCCCATATCAGCGCAGGGATCTGTCACATGGATCTGAAGACATCTCTGCTTTCGTGTTAATCCCATAACACACGATCTCCTCGCAGCCCCTTGAATGTTTTGGATCCATTGGTGGTGGTGCTGACTCCGGCCTGGCCTAGCTTGCGCAGCGATATCAGATTGGCCTTCAGCCCCGATACGAGTAACACGTCCTTCAGCACAACCAGTCCACCATCAGGTGCTCTGAATGCAGCTCGACCAACTCCAGCGACCTTCACTGCATGTCCGGATGCTGAGCGCACTTCAGAGATTGGAGGCGCTCGCACAGCATCCAGCAAGTCCTTGCGTGGTGTCATTGTCCATGCAGCACCAGATTCCATGACCCACATGTCAAGCGGGTGCAATTCCTCTCCAGCCCTTGCAACAGCTGTGCCACTGTCATCTTTGTCACACACATGGTAGAACTGTCCAGCATTCCTCTCCTCATTTCCCATTCCTCTGTCATCCTTGGAGGTTTCTTCAGCAGGATCAGCTATTATGTTGGCACCTCCATGTGGTTGCTTTCCTCCATTCCCCTTTGCGATTGGTTCCAAGGGGTCCACCAGTCGGGCTTGGTAGAGCAGCGAAACCATGGATGCCCTTCTTCCTTGCAATACCAGCACTCTCCCCTCAAGCGTGGTTCATTGTTGGAGTGACCACCTCTTCCTCTTGCACCAGCGCCACCACGCCCCCGCTGGTTCCAAGTCCCGCGACCACCTTGGCTGTAGTAAGAGCGACCGCGATTGCCACGCCCTCGATCCCTCCATGTCCCTTGCATGGCATAGCCGCTGGTTCTGTCATCACCTCCTCGCAGTGTATAGCGACGAAAATCTTCTTCCAGAATCTTGGTGCGAATCCACTCCAATGTCCATTGACTTTAGTTTTGTGGCAAGCTGAGTCCGCTTATAAGTTGCAGCCAAGACTCGGGCAGCAGGCTAAGCATCTTGAGACACTTAGTCATGATAGAAAAGACATTGAAGCATAGTTGGAAGGTGGGGTAGGAAGGGAAGGATGAAAGGAAAGGACCCTGGAGGCCCTTGGTCAAGAACATGACAAGAGTCAAAGTCTTGACTCCCCATCCTCAGGTTCAGCCAGCGTGGCAAGACAAAATTCACACTGTGCCAGGTTGGCCTCCAAACCCCAAATACTGCAGCTGCAAGGTGAGGACAAAAGTCCCACACATGCTGATCCCTCCTCGTTATAGGGCTCTCCAACTTTGGTGTAGCAGCTGCCTAGGACTTCCAATGACTTGTAACAAATCCATCAAACATTTCTTCGTATCTTCTTCATATGTGCTCAGATTCCAACAATTCTTGGCTCGTTGGAATGTGCTCGATGTCATGCACAATCCAAGCACATCTGCACAAGCAGAAGATGAACATGCAAAGAGATGCAAACCCAACAAACCATACAAACAACGTAGCAGACAAAACACATGCAACGAAATGATGCGTACAGACGACAGGATGACGTGCAAACGAATATGCACCAACAAAAAGCGCCAGGCCGATCGCCATTGCAACGATCACACCATCACTGTGGGAGACCAGGTGCTTCTGTTAGAAATAGACTGCAAATAACACTTTTGTATTTGTACTTTTATATCCTAGTTTAGGTTATGAATGTTCTAGTGGGTTGGGGTGTACTCACAAATCCCAACCTCACCCAATTGTGATCCCCCCAATCTCCAATTACCCAATTGGAGATTCCAGAGATCCCAATGGGGATTCCCTCCAATTCCCCCTTCATCCATTCACTCTCACCTTGCCATGTACTTATAGAGCCTTGGGCTCCTTACCTAATCAATCTTTTCAACTCTATTTCTTACATGGTATCAGAGCGACCTATCCGCACACACGGATCAAGGTCCTAATCTGAACGTGCCCGCGCTACGCGCACTTTATCGTTGCGTTATTCGTTTCGAGTCTTCGGAATTTCGACGTGCTCCACTCTGCAGTCGCGCCTCTCATCGTCGACCGCCTTCGCGCTCGATCTCGTTGAATTTCTCATCTCTGAAGCGTTCACGCTTCTCGTCGTCGATTTCCTCCTCGGTTCTCCTTGTTCGAATCTCAATTTCGACCATCTCTTAAAACTCGTTCTCGAGTTTCCCCTCAGACCCCGCCAGAATAGGGGAACTCCCATCGCGAAATCGCCTCCACGAACGTCTCGCGTCAAATCAAGAGCAGGTACACAGGTTGAAGCGGAGCGGAGCAGGTACCCTGAGATACAGCCGTCAGAGTGATTTTCAGCAATTCTCGTCGACCAATTTCCAGAAGTGCCGCGCTGCACACCGACAATGGCTTACTCAACCACTTCACTCGCCAACCCGATCCCGCTCCTTCATCTCGAGCCGGACGGTACATGCTCCAACTAGAAGGCTTGGCGCTATGGTGTCGACAAGCACCTCCTCAGTCGCGAGGTGAAGGGGCTCGAGCTCACTGACGTCCTTCTCAACATTGGTGACGGCAAAGAGCCTCCTAAACCCGAGAGGTCCGCCGATCCAGCTAATGCCGCCGCCGAAGCAGTTTATGCTGCTGCACTGCTCAAGTACAAGAATTGGGAGAAGGCCGATGGTGCGGTCATTAGTGTCTTCATGGGCACCACTCCTCCCGAACTCGTCGAAACCTACCACAACTACCCGTCTGCCAACGCCATTTGGCTCTACCTCGAAGATCGCTTCCTGAACAAGACTGCAGTGGGAGTTGCTATACTCATCCCCAGCATGTTCCAAGTGCGGCTCGAGGACTCGTCAGGCATGGCGGACTATGTCACCAAGGTGCAGTCCATTCATGGTGAACTCAAACAGTTGGGGATAGTCTTCCCCGAGCAAGCCCCTGCAGCCGCTCTCCTAGTCAGCCTCACTCCGGCATACGAAGTCACACGCAAGATGCTCTTGGGCCTTGCCCCTGCAGACCTCACATTTGCCAAGGTCTCATCCGCGCTCCTTTCTGCCGAAAAGGACAACAGCGCTCAAGCCAATGCTAATGCAATCCGCGCTCCCGTGCCTCAAGCCTCTGCCGCTTCGGTGCCATTCCAGCGCAACCGCTTCCCCCCCTTGTCCCTACGTCATCAAGCGCGGCCCTCGTGCTGGCCAGGTGTGTGGCGGCACCAACCACGCACTTGCCTCCTGCTTTAAGAAGAAGGATGACGAATGGTATGGCGTCAATGGGACCGCCTCCAAGCCGCCAAGCTAGATGGTCAATCGTGCTCCTCGCCAAGTCAATCAAGTCGAAGCGCACGAATCCGGGCAGGCTGCTGTGGCTGCACCTGCTGATGTGCGCCTCAACATGTTGTTCCCTGGCACTGCCATGATTAATGAGACGGTTTCGCAGTATCCTGGCTCACAAAGCACCTCTGTAACAATAGAGTTCACCCTCGACAGTGGGGCCACTCACACGGTTCTATAGGAAGAACACTCCTTCAAGCCATACGAGACACCAATCCATCTACTTGGAGCAGACTCCAGTTTCACAACACACGCCAAGGGCTCCTCCATAGTTCCGTGCCCAGCTTTTCCTTCGGGCAGTGTGACTGGCATGTGTGTTCCCACACTACGCTACAATCTCGTGGCCCAACACGAGCTCCAACGGGCAGGCGTCGCCACAATCTTCCTAGCACACTCGGATCACTGTGACCTCTTCGACCCTAAGTCCAACAAGCTCCTAGCACGCTTCACACTCAACAGTAGCAAGCTCTACACGCTGCGTTCACCTGCACCTCTCGCCGCCCACTCCCAAGCGCAAGCTGCCAGCACCACTCCGTGTTCGTGTCGCAGCTTCGCCAACCCAACCATCCTCTACCACCATCGCTTGGGTCACCCCAACTTCCGTACACTTGCCGACATCGCTTCCAAGAAACTTCTTCTTGGCCTCCTGTCGGCGCTTCCTCCACCAACAGACTCGCCTGCACCCACCTGCCTGGACTGTACCAAGAGCAAGCTCAGGCAGCAGCCGCACCCTTCCTCCCCATCCGTCGAAGCTGCTCCACTGGACCTAGTGCACATGGATGTCTGGGGCCCAGCTCCAGTCGCATCCCGAGGCGGTCATCGGTACTTTCTTATACTAGTCGATGACCACTCGCAGTATGTTTCTGTGCACCTCCTGCATACCAAGGTGGAGGCACCTGATGTCATCATGGCGTGGGTGCGCCAGGCTCAAGTCACGTTCGTCACTCCTCTGAAGTGCCTCCATTCTGATGGCGGGGGAGAATTTCGCAATGGCAAACTCGATAACTTCTGTGCGGCCCAAGGGATTCGGCAAACCTTCACGCTCCCCGAAAGCCCGCAGCAGAATGGCATTGCACAACCACACCTTGGTTCAGATCGCTCGCTGCCTCCTTTGTCACGCCAACGCACCACGGTCACTCTGGGGATATGCCCTCTTCCATGCGGCACTCCTCTACAATCTTTATCCGCATCCCCACCAGCCCGACACCACACCTACCGCTCTTTGGCTTGGGGTCACGCCTTCCGCTCGCTCTCTACGCGTCTGGGGGTATACCGCGTATGTGTTGCTAAGCCCCCACACGCGCAGGAAGAAAGGTGGCAGGCTTGGTCCCAAAACCCAGACCTGCATGTACCTGGGGCACAACTCCGACTCCCCAGACTACTTATTCCTCAACCCAATCACCAGACAGCTGATTCGCAGCCGTGATGTCGTCTTCGATGAGACACGCCCATTCCACTCTGCGACCACGGGCGAGCCTCCTCCACCTCCCCCGACGCTTGTTTGGGCAGACTTCGATGCCCCACCTCCGGCCGCTGCCCCTTCTCCGGGGCCTTCTCCGTCCGGCGTGTCTCACCCGGCCTCCCCAGTATCCTCCGCAACGGCACCTCCTCCTGCTCCGCCTTCCCCGTGCATCGAGCCCGGCTCACCAGTCTCCTATCGGAGGCGCTCAGTCCCTCCGGTCCCACCGCAGCCGCCTTCGTCTCCGGTCTCTAGTCGCACTCGTTCCAAGGGACCGGCTCCGCCTCTCGCCTGGGGACCAGCCGCCTTCTCCATCCGGTGTTCGGTCACCCCGCCTCCTCCTGCCGGGGGTGATGTCCCCTCCATCCGTATTCCCCCGCATGCACTTCTGGAGGACAGGCATGAGGAGTTGTTTGACCTTCACGCGGTCTGCCAATTTCTCTCTCACATCTTCCCGGACATTATTGACTGCCCTTCCCTCAACTTCACCGAGAACGCGACCATTCCGACTCCTCGCACAAAAGAGGAAGCTCTCTCGGGGCCTTATAAGAAGGAGTGGAAGGCAGCAATGGATGTGGAGAACGAGGCGTTCATTCGCAACAACAGCTTTGACGATGTTGTTCCCCCTTCCAGTGTCAACATCGTCGGCGGAAAATGGATCTTCCGAGTCAAACAACTCCCAGGCGAAGCTTCACTGTTCAAGGCACGATACGTGGCGAAGGGTTTCACCCAGAAGGAGAATCTCAACTTCTTCGAAACCTTCTCGCCCACGGCCAAGCTCCCGACTTTGCGGGCTCTTCTTGATATAGCCGCTCGCGGCAACTTCGAGATCAAGTCCATTGACGCCTCCTCCGCCTTTCTCCAAGGCCAGCTTGAGGAGGATGTTCACATGGAATGCCCACCGGGGTTTCCTGGCACTTACCCTGCCAACACAGTGTGGAAGCTGAAGCGCCCAGTGTATGGCCTCAAGCAGGCTCCTCGTGAGTGGCACAACAAGGTGAAGGAAGTCCTCCTCACACTTGACTTCCATCCCTCCGCCTCAGATTCCAGTCTCTTCGTTCGTCACTCCTCCGAGCCCTTCTACATCCTCGTCTACGTCGACGACTTCATTCTAGCCGCTAGAGATCCAGCCGACATGGCAGCTGTCCAGTCTGCTCTCAGCTCCGCCCTTCTCAT